CAAACGATGGCACATAACAGCAACAACAACAAACTTTTTAATGTCAACTACCATTTATTGGAAGTGTAACATGTACACACATTTGGCAACTGAAAAGTTTATAAAGACTTGCTTTGTTGGGGTATTTCCTTTATTCTTGTTTGCAACCAAACCCACAGTGTCTGAGGAATGCCTGCACTTCTTACCTCTATGGTTGGATTACTACTTGGAAGGAGCACTGGTGGCCGGTTCCCTAGGGAGCCGCTTTGCTAACCCAAAGGCCCAGTGGTTTGAACCCACTAGTCAGAGAAAGATGAGCAATCTCCTGTGCAGTTTACAGCCTCTGATTATCAGCAAGATGGTCAGCTATGAGTGAGTTCTGACTTGACAGCAGTGAGTTTGAATTTGAGTTTTGTTGTTGTTGTTGTTGTTGTTATGTGCCGTCGAGTCGCCTGCGACTCATAGCGACCCTATGTACAACAGCCCTAAATTCCGCTCTGTCCTGTGCCAATCGCACTGTCTCCAACACTCCCATCCCAATTATCCCAGTCACTGAATCAATCCACCTCATAGAGGGCCTTCCTTTCCTGCGCCATCCCTTTTAGTACTCAGAAATCACAAATAGAAGTGGTTTCTTTTACAGATGGGGTGGTGGATGAAGGACAAAGAAAGGAGGAGAACCTTTGTTTTCTGGGCAGACTTATACACTATGGGAAAAACAGTATTTTTATCCAGCCTATACTTCTTTTCATATTGGTCATCATAAACGTCTTTTGTACTCAATGATACTTCTTAAATATATACAGTTGATTAATAAAGCTCATGTCAGAACTTGGGGGTTTTCAGAGTCTCTGAGTTACATGGGAGGATATTGCCTATGTCTCAGATCCACTGGTGGATTTGAACCATCAGAGAGTCTCAGCTTGTGGCCTTTGGGTCAGCTGTGCAGCTACTTATGGATTATGCCCCCAGAGCTCCCTGCACAATGATTAGGGAGAGACGTAATCTCTAACAGCAAAGAACATCTTTAATGCAGGCACAATGGAATGTACATTACATGAAATTAACCTTGGATTTGGTTCTTATTTAAGGAAATGAAGCAGAAGGAAGACATAACCAAGTCCTTCCAAGGCCCGACTGTTGTGTGCAGGACTCTGAACAATCATGTTTACATGTTTCAAGATGGCAATGGGGACTCAGGTGACTCCTCTGAGGAAGAAACAAGACACGTCCTGCGGCCCCAGAGCAGAGAGTGCCGCTGGGACTACACCCACCACCCTTGTCTGCCAAGAGCCACCAGTGTTGTTCTGCTGCAGCTGCAGCTGACCCAGGAGGACAGCCTCAACAGGCTGGTGCTGCAGTATGGCTGCAAAGTAAGGAGTCTTCAGATAACAAGGTGAAGGGTACTCAGAAACTGATGGCGAAGGGATCCATACTGCCTCCTCATGATCCCTGAGAAGTGGTTGTGAAAAGCTTGTAGCAAGTTTAACAAAAAAGATGACAGCCCTATGTGCTGGTAAATAGAACTGCTACTACAGGGCTTCCTAGGTCTAACCTTTATGGATAGGAGCCCTGGAGGCATAGTGTGGTAAGTGTTGGGCTGTTGTCTGAAAAGTCAGCGGTTAGAACCACCAGCCACTCTGAAAACTAAGGATAAGGCAGCCTGTTCTGGTGCCAATAGATAGCCTGGGAATCCCAGTGCAGGATTGCAATGGATCTGAGCCAATGTGACAGCAGTAGGGTGGGTATTGTCTATTCTTTACAGGAAGGAAATCCAGGGGCACAGTGGTTGAGAACTTGGCTCCTAACTGAGCAGTGGACAGTTTGAAACTACCAGCGGCCATGTAAGAGAATGATATCTGCTTCTCTAATGATAATAATTTTTCCCCATGAAAGACTTTCAAATAGCAACCTGAAAACATGAAAAGATGCTCAGCACCATAACCATCAGAAAGATGCAAACCATATCAAATGCAGGTTCAGATCTGTTGTTTATGGGGCCAATGTAAGTCATACTCAAGTTGATGGCAACTAACAATGACATAACAAGGAAGACTAAGCTTATTGCCTTTATAAAACAACTCCAGTCTTCGCCATGAAACCAGAATTGGATGGTGGTTGGCTACCACTACTGAACATTTTAATAAAAAATTCCATGGAAGAATCCTGGTCAAAAGAGGGAAAATGGGAGAGCGACGCGGCACAGTAAGTCTTATTTGCTGAGGACTGGTGACTTGGCAGCTTAATATCTGGGAACAGACTGAAACCTCTAACTCCCGGCGCTGCCCAAGCCCTGCACCCCCCATCCCTGCCACAGCACCATGTCCAGGGACACCACCCCACCACCATCCCGTGCCCCCACAATTTTGGCACACCTTGGTGGCCTCGCCACAATCCTGCACCCCCTGGCGGTGCTCCAGGGCCACTAGAGACTCCTTCACGCAACACAACAACAGCCGTGGACAATACAATTCTGAGTCAGCACACAAAGGCACACCATGGAAACAACCATCATCTGAAACCACCAATCAAGCTGCTGTGGGACTGATCTGCCACGAGAACGGCTGGTAGGATCCTAATTGGGTTTTCTTGGGCAACGCCTATTGTCTGGAAGAGTTCCCAAAGTTGAGCCCACTGGTGGGAATTTGGCTGAGCTCTCTCAGGGCATGCCAACTGCCCAGGAAAGAGCGGGCCAGTGATAATTTAGTGGAACTTTTGTGGACACTGCAGACCAGCAAGAGGCGAGTGGGTTGGTGGAAATTTGACTTTGTCTTATTGAGTCCCCTTGACTCAGGAGCCTTCCTGGGCAAGGGCCACAGTGCAAGGGCAACTGCATGAGCACCACTGGACAGGGATCAGTGAATGAAAGCCACTGGGTGGGAGACAGACGAATAGGGAACCCAGTTGTAAGCACACCCAGACAACTGAGGCCTGAGTGAGGTCCTCCAAATGGTTGACCTGCCCTTGTGATTGCCGTAACCATGTGCATGCCCTTCCCTATTTGGCTCCACACCTGTGTCTACATATCTGGTTAATCAACCTGCCTTTAATCCGGAGCACCTTGGCCTATCTTACCTACAAGAGGCTGCTCTCACAGGCTCTGCTGACATTTCCCTGGAGTCAGACATTCAGAGAAAAGCACAAGTGGGATAGCTACCCAACTGATCTCTAGAGCATTATCTTCATTGAGAACATATCAATGTCTCGAAGAAAGCAAGCCGTCCCACACAATACACAAGCACAAAGCAAGATATCACCCCCAAAGGGTGACAGAGTATCAATCCTGAAGGCAGAAAGTCTGATGAAACTTTCTGACACAGAATTTAAAAGAACAATGATTTAATATTTTCAATGGATGAAAGACAAACTTGAAGAATTACAGGATACTACAAACAAAAAACAGGAGGAACTAAAAACAAATAGTCCAGAACAATGTAGAGAAAACAAATGAGGCATTAGCGACACTGGAAAAACAAGAAACCACTATCTAAAATATGAGGTCCAATGTTTCAGATGCTGTCAACATGATGGAGGGGCACATGAACAGAGTTGAAGAGATGCAACAAAGAACCAATGAAATAGAAGACAAAATTGTCACCACGGATTTGCTAGAGCAAAAAGCAGACTCAAAAAGGAAGGAAAAAG